CGGGCTCTCCATATGGGCCCAGCAGCAGACCACGCGGGCAGGAGGACTCCTGAGTGGCTGGGCCAGAGTGGGGTCAACTTCTACCACAGTGGCTGGAGCAGACAGATTTGACGCTTCCTTAAACCAACTGCTACCTTCTCCCCGGGTCAGCAGCAGGAGAGAAAGCAGGGCAATGACTACACTTCAGAAACCAGCCGGGGAGGCAGTGGGGGTTGAGCGAGCGAAGGAATAAATGGCCCAGCTGCTGAGCCATTCACTGAACGTGCCCGTCCTTGCAGGCATCTCTGTGACTTCAAGTGCTGGAAAAGTGAATGAAATGAGAACAAGGACCCACTAACGTGTTGTTAGCTCGCCGTTACAATGCAGGGTGACATTTGTTTTAAAAAAAATCATGTGGAAGTGGTTAGCAAATGCTATTACGGCATTTCCAGAACTTCAGCGCAGCTGTTTGCCCTGCAAGGGAGGCGCGCAGGCACTGAGCCGAGCTCAGGAGTGGGGCCCTGAGCGTGCCCCACAGGCGGCGGGGCCGTGAGAAGCCCCTGCAGCCCCAGTCCCCGCCACTCCATCTCTCCGAGCCTCCCTGTCTTCCCCTACAAAGACGGGATAAAGACGATGCCGTGCACCTGTAGCCTACAGGGCAAAAAGACGTGTGGAGAAGGGAAAAGTATTTAAAGGTTAAAAAAAAAAAAAACGACTTAGATAATTGAATATGAAAGCTCGGGCTTTTTTTTTTTTTTTCATGCCTCATGACCTTGAGCCAAAACATTTGTTGTGTCTCAGTTTTTCCTTCCTCCTGAATAGTATCAGGATTAACAGAGATCAAAAACCTTGCATTTTTTTGATGGGAGATAATTTTGGAGACCTGGCAGTATGCACACAGAGACATCAGCAAGATTTATACTTTACATGTGCTCAAGGAGGATTAAAAAAATGCGATAATGTGTGCATCGTTTCTACCAAAGACAGGATGGCACTGGTCAGACCAGGTCAGTTTCTCAAAGACCAGGCTCACTGAACGCATATTTAGGAGATTGGAAGAACTAAGGTCATTTTAGGCTTTAACACAGGGACCATTACTGTCTGTGTCCAGCAGATCAGGGATCAGGCACTGGGAAGGACTTTCTCACTTGGCTATTTTTTTTTTTTTTTAAGATTTATTTATTCGACAGAGAGAGCACAAGCAGGGGCAGAAGCAGAAGGAAAGGGAGAAGTAGGCTCCCTGCTGAGCAAGGAGCCCAATGCGGGACTCCACCCCAGGACCCTGGGACTGTGACCTGAGCCGACGCTTCACTGCCTGAGCCAGCCAGGAGACCCTCACTTAGCCAAGGTGAGATTCATAGGGTGAGATAAGATCATGCCAACACACGAAATACTAACAAATATCATGGGAGGTGGACGTTTGCTGGGCCCCATGGTGCATGGCGGGAGGGAGGAGAGCCCAGCTCAGGATGAGGGGACTCAGGAAACCCATCTGAGCCACTAAGGACCAGCACTGGGCCTTTTATATTTTAGAACCCTTTTGCATTGTTCCCGGTCTTTAAAACAACCCTAGTTTATGGAGGTATTGTGAGTACAAAGAGAGATGCTCAAAGCAAAAGTGTTCTAAAATGTGAAAGGCCCAGGACAATCCAAAGGAATGGTGATGGGTCCCCAGCAAGGCCTCTCCAGGCTTCTGTCACCAGTGGGAGGATTTGAAGGCCATGATTAAATCTATGCGTCGAGTTTCTCCTCCCTTCCCCTCTCTCCCAACTTTCCTCAGCAATGTTTAGCTGTATTCAGTATTTCTAGGATTTTAGGCTCCCGTCCTGGTGTAAATTGGACCACAGGAACCCCATTCTGCTTCTCAGACCAAAATGTCATTTAAATTCCCCAGGAAGCCTGAGGGGCCTCTGAGACAGTTTATCTTCCCAGAGACTGTGGGGTGAACGAGGGTAGCCTCCCCCAACACAGAGCACCCCATCAGTGAACCGAATAGCTCAAGAAGGCCTGAATCCCAGATCCATCCCAAATCCATCCCAATTAGATCTGGCTGAGGGTCTCCATTTTGTATGCCCGTCTTTTCCTCTTTTCTGTAGGAGAAGGAAACATCCTTGAAATCCTAACCACTGTTTTGGGTTTGTTTGTTTGTTTGTTTGTTTGTTTGTTTCCTTGCTTCTTCCTTGGGTCCAGCTCTTGGTCAAAATGTTAGGAGAATACAGAATGAGCAAGAATGGGTTTTCTGGCCCAGAATAGATAAAGATTCTCTAAGGAGACTTGGCAGAAAAGTGTAGAGTGTGCTGGCGTTGGTGGAACCTGCCTTCTGCTTTGCATCTTTGAGGAAAATAGGCAGGACTGGAATAAGACCTTTTGAACTTGAGCATCAGAAGGCACTATGGAGCTGGGACAGCCTACGGATCTGCCCCAGCCTGGCCCAGCCCTGGCACACGAGGACGACAGCCATGTGTCCTGGAAGGACCTGGAAGTAAGAAGAAGAAATGGAGCAGCCAGCAAAGGCCCCCTCAGGAGCAATCTGTGTGGACCAGTGTCCAAAGGCTGAAGGGGACGGTGGATATCTCAGCAGAGAGCAATTCGGATAGAAGACACACACGGACTTCCTGTCTGCCCTTGGAACTGTCTACGCCTCCCGATATTTCAGTGAACTCTAGAGGAAGGCGGGATGCTGAATGGCATGGTTTCCATCACTCGAGCAGGCTAGGATCAGAAAATAAAGATACATTCAGCAATAGAAAGATGAAGTTAGATGTCTTGCACACTTGGGTTTGCAGACTGAGATCCACTCAGGGGGAAAGAAATGAGTTCTCAGCCCCCTTTCCTTTCTCTTTCTTTCTATCCTGAGCCCCCCCTTTTTGGGACAAAGCAGATGTTGAGCGCACAGACACAGGAGATGAAACGTAGGCCAGGCCATGTAGGCCAAAGCCAAGGAACGGTGGCTGTGGGGGGCCGGCGAACCCCTTCGAGTACCTCCAGGGCTCCCTGGGCCCTTAAGGAAGGGGCGCTGTTGAAGGATCCTGAGTGCCCCGTTCCTGTCCTATGCGCTCTAACTGCCCAGGCAGCTGACACACCACCTTTCCCCAGCCTCTCCGGCACGTCGGCCTTCTCCATGCGCCCCCTTGCCCAGCCCATCTGTTCCTGCTGCTTGGCAGCCTCTGTGCTCTGCCCCCGGCCAGGGCCTGTCTGAGCAGGAGGGTGGGCGCGCCTCTGATGAGGCGGGCCTCGGCCCCTCCATCACTCTCTGCCGCAAGGAAAGCACCAGCTGTCTGGCTTCATTTGCATTTTTTTCTCCCAAATAATGAAATTAGCCATGAGTTTCCTGAGGTGATGCAAGACACAAATTTAGGCTAGATGTGTCAGTGTGTGATGGAGAGGGAAGGAGAAGGTCAGGGAAGCATTTTGATAACAAATTTGCAGCACTGAAAGGGAAGGGGAAAATTGATAACAAATTTTACTAGAGATGTATCTTTCAGCTCAGAGGAAAATGTACCTTTTTAGCTCAGAGGAAAGTTAGATGAGGCCTTTAAAAGGTAATGTTCCCTCCCCCGGCCACCCACCCACCCCCTCCCCCCGTCCGGGATAAAGTCACAAACATTTTATGAACAAACAGGAAAAGATGTCAGCCAAGGATGAAACAATTCTCAATTACTGAACATTTCTATGGCCACATGCAGAATTGTCTTACGATGATAACGTTTGCAGAGGTACCCAGGCCAGGAAGCCAGACCGCGCTGCTAAATACCAGGGAGGTGCAGAACCCACCAGCTTTTTTTTTTTTTTTTTCTTCTATACCATCATTTGAACTCTTCTGATGACAAATAAAACAAGAGTCTCCTCATTTGTCATGAAGGTTTGGTTACCAGTTCTCCGAATGTTTTCTAAATTTGCCATCTCCATTTCATATTTTAAACTAATTGATTAGTTACGCTTGAGATACGCATAGACATCCAAGTAGAGGTGTCAAGTCGGCGAGTGGATGGTGCCAAGTCTTGATGTCATCATGGACTTCCCATTTTTATGTGGAATAATCTGTTTTAAAGCTCTTTATATTCTGGAAAACTGGATGTAAGAGAGGTCTTAAGAGTGCCCTGCCAATCAGGCCAGCGTCTGCCATTTTCACAGATAACCAAGTTTACCCGAGAACCCCGGGTCCATTGCCCGTGGCCACTTTGAATTTCTGCCATTCACGTGCGACTTCAGGCAAGTTATTCACCTTAGGCTCAGTGTTCTCATCCATAAAATGGGATGAAAATAATACCTATCCGAGAATAGTGTTGTAAGAATTATATTAGATAAAACAATATATGTAAAGTGCTAGTACGCACTGAATAAAGAGGGGATTACACTTCAGGGCAGTAGGGAAATGTGGGCTTTTGCTGACTCCTACACTACTGAAGGGAAGTATCTGGACATTTTTACCTCCTAGAACTCACTCTGATTGTGGACCTGTCTGATTTCCGAGTGGAAATAGAGTACATTTCTTGGGAATACAGGGAGGAGACGTATACACTGGAGCCCTGTATAGGTGAGGTCCTCACAGATGGCACGCCCAAGTAAGGATATTTACCAAGAGGCTAATCACCAAAGTGTGGTGGGTTTGGGGGAGCCCTAGAGACACTTTAGGAATCAGGGGTTCACTGCAGCCGAACTGTCAGTACCCGTAGGCACAAAAGGATGAGGAGAGGAAGAGATTACTGGAACAGTTGTATAGCCTTGGCTTCCTTGAGAGAAGCAGAGCCTTTTGTAGAGGTGACTCCTGGCGGGGGGGGCGGGGGACGGTCGGGAAAATTCATCCTATGGCCTCATTCAGCTCCTTCCATCACTTTGCCCTAGGACGCTGTGTTGGGGGGGTGGGGGCTGGGGCCACCGTCACAGTCCCTAGAGGTCAGAGTTGGGGGACAGAAAGCAGGGTGGACAAGGGGCTATCCAACACAGGCTCTTCTTGTTGCCCTTAGCCTGGTGTTCTGGGGGTCCCAAGTCCCCCTCTCCCCTGCAAGCCTGGGAATTGTCTGGTCTGGTCTTTGTGCTCCTGCAAAGTGTGAGTTGGGCACTTCTTTCCTAGAATATTAATTTGAGAAGAGAGCAAAGGACTGAGCATTTGTGTAGAAGCAGGTTGCCCCCACTCCAGCCCCGTCTGTCTCCAGACTGGTCTGTGCTGCCGCTCACAGTGCGAAGGCCTCCTAGGGGCTGTGCCAGCTTTGTTCTTTACATTACTTTTCCTGAAAGTTTTCCTTTTGATGAATTTTACAAACAATTTCACTGTGGGTTCCCAAATGTGCATATATCACCAATGGCTTGAAATAAGGGGGAAATAAACTGAAACCTGGAAAGAGTCCCTCCTTCACGCCCCTCTGCTCCATGACCATCCCCCCTGCTCACACACACACATACAATGACTCCTTGGTGAACTATGCTTCTGTCATTTCTGGCTTGACTTTGATCATAATCTGCCCCTGGGGGCACTCAGAATCGGAGTGCCTCCATAGTTGTATTTACTTTAGTCTCTTGGTCTTTTCAAATGGGAAGCAGATGAAGAGCATGGTTCTGGATCTGGATCAGAATACACTCAAGAGATGAAACATGGTGAGGCAAATAGAATATCTCTTGCTGCTACCAGGCTCTGGAACCTTCCTGTCTAACCCCAGACCTCACTTCCCTCACTTAAGGTCCTAACTAGTCTTCCTTCTTCTGGGACTGTCTTCTGACAGCCTCTCTCCTGTCACTAGAACAGTCTCTCTGAAATAAAAATGTGACCATGTCATTCACCTGATTTAAATATTTTCATGGCCCCCTCATTGCCATATGGCAGAGTCCAAACTCTTTGGCTTAACTCCCCTCACCCCACCCCTCCCCTCAGGAAACACACTGACCCTTAACTGCCTGAACCAGTTAGGACTCTTTCTGATTCAAAACAGAAACAAAACAAAACATGTAGTTGAAAAGCCCTTGGCAGTTTTCTGAGAGAACGTGATCTAGGGCTCAAATAGTAGTACCAGGAATTAGTTTCTCCCCATCCATATCTTGGCTCCGATCCCTCTGGGTTGGTCGCTTTGGTAGCTGGAATCTCCTGTCATGGTAGTAAGAAGGCTACGGCAGCACCTGCCTCATGTTGTTGCAACTTCAAGACCAAGGAAAGAATAACCACCTCTGTCTCTTGGTATCCTGTGACACCTTATTGGTTCTGATGGGGCATGTGCCCATCCCTGAGCCAATCACTTGGTTACCAAGTACTCTGATTTGTCTAGACTTGAATCATATGCCATCTTGGAGCTATAGGGGAAGCAGTCTCTGGAACCACACAGATTGAGAGAAAATGGCACAAATGGGTCTCCACATGAAAATCAAGGGCTATGATAACCAAAATGGTGAGTAAATGCAAGATGACCAAAAAGAAACCACTGTCCACTTTCCCACCTCTGTCTGCAACTCTTGCTGTGTCCAGCCTCACAGTCTAGAGTAGGACAGCCAGGCCACACTGCCGGAGTGCTCCAAACAAACCACCCATTTCATACCGACAACTCTTTGCTCTACTTTCCTCTTCTTTTAGGCATGCTCTTCCATCCCCCTTAACTTCATCTCTGTCCAACTGGTCAACATCTTCCATCTTTTCAGATTCGCTTTTAAAACCCATCTCTACCGTATTTCCCAACTTGCTGTCCCAGATAGGGCTTTCTCTTCTGAGTAACCTATGACCCATTTCCAGTTCTGCACATAAGTCTGCCGCAACAGCAATACTACTCTATCGTGTAAGCGTTATTCAGGTCACAGGGTTTAATCTAGACTCTAAGGGTTTTGAGTTTAGGAATCACATCCTACTCCTCTTTGTATTGCTAGCGCCTAACCATTGCCTGAAAATCCAAATGTTCAGTAGATGTTCATTGACAGTGAACACACCGATTGAAGTATGTGATATCCGGGAAGATGACACCAATGCACTGTTTCAGTTGTTCCTTACAAGTGGAGTCCTCAGGCTGAAGAATAAAACACAAGTGGTAGTGGAAGGTAATCTATTAATGGCAATATTTCATTTATAAAAAAATAATTCATCCATATGGTGCTCTTATTCTCTCAGTATCCTGAAGATATTAAATACATAGAATTCTATAGAATCTATAGAATGTAAGGAACGGTCAGTCAGCTGGTAGTATCATATTAGGAAAGTAAATATTTCACTGGTTCATCGGTGCCACGCATCAGCTAAATACGATGTTGAGAGTAGCTCCACCATCAGAATCTTTGTCCTCAATATCATCAAAATTAAGCATGTAAACATCCAACCCTCTTTGATCCTGTCTTTCAGGTGAAAACCGCGGTAGGACAGAGCCTTTCAGAATCTTCTTGAGTAGAATCTTTTTTTTTTTTTTTTTTTTGGAGTGGAACCTACATTGTTTTTTTAATTTTTTAAATTTTTTTATTTTTGTTGTTTATTTTTGAGTAGAGTCTTAATAAATAGCTTCAAATGGGAACCTTCGTTCCAAAACAGCCCTCTTTTTCATAGTTCCTTTAATTCCAATTGTATGAAAAAGCAAGTACAGTGAGTGTACTTGGGTCGGTTACTTACCCCTCTGAGCTGCGGTCTCCCCACCCCACCCCCCATCTGTAAAGGAGTGGGGATGACACTAACCTGTCTGGCTGGGGAAGAGGCATCTCTGTGGAGCAGTGGCAAGAGCGACCAAGCAAAGCACCATCTGGGTGTGGGTTGCATTGTGATTTAACAATCGAATCCTGTCTGCAGGACAGGATGGCGCAACTCAAAAGTGAAAAGCTGAGCTTGAAAATTACAGCTTCTGGACATATGACATCACCTAAAGGAAATAACTTTGCAGATATTATTTGGATTAAAATATAGAATACGTGATATTGCAAAAATATGATATACTTAACACACACACACACACACACACACACACACACACACACAATGCTGAGCTAGGACAAGCACAGATTAGGATGCTTCTGGATCTCTCTAACATGCTAGCGCAAATTTCTGTTCAAAATTCCACACTTTTCCATATGACAGCATGGGAAAATTTTGCTTTACATTCAATGTTTTCCTTCTCAACATTTTGAAATAGGAATTAAAAATACTATTACTGATCATGTTCTATTTGATCGAGACAGACTAACTGCTTCCAAGTTGCATTCATAGAACTCCCATATTTAACTGGACTCCAACCTTTTATCCAGCACGAGTGCCGAATGTCATCATCAAACATGTCGTTGCTTGGGGTGCCCCTGGGAGGACACAAATGTGTTCACCAGGGAGTGAGGCCCTTCCCCGGGCTTCCCTTCCTCTCTCTCTCTTCTGCTCCTGCCTCACTGTCATCACCGGAATAGACAATTTCTTCTTGACAGCTCTTCATGTCAGTCAAAAGTCTAGGTCAGACACTTATCAATTGACCCGGTGTTAAAGGTAGACACTCATTTCAGCATCTGTCAATAGCCTCTTTTGATCCATTTAGACCAGAGCCTGCATCCCTGTAGTGATTTATACTGACGCGTGCATGGACTTTTAAAGACAGGGAAACCTTTCTAGAACTCTAGAAGTCAGCCGGCATGTGGACTGCTACCTCTGTTGCTTTCAAACAAAGAACCCCAGAGACAAGATTATACCCGGGGAATAATACCTAAGACCTTCAAAGATCCTGACTATAGCACTGACCCTGAAGCTTGGCGCTCTCCAGGACCCGAGGATGGAAGCCCAGTGTTCGTTCTTCAAATCCTGTATAGCCCGTGTTCTCGAACTCATCAGACCGGGAAGGCTTTCCACCAAGTTGGCTGAGCTAAATCCTGAACCACCACCCTGTGGAGCCGTGGTTCCAGTGGGGCAGACCACAGCTAACCTATACGCTCCCTTGGAAAAGTCCCCCAAAATACAGGACGTAGGGCCACGGCTCAGTGTCCCTCTGGAATGGTCTAGCCTGATCTCCCCTCTGATTTGGCAAAATACCAGGGGTGACGTCCTGCTTCAGCTCAGGTGTCTTTTCCCCTCCCCACCGCCCTGGTTCCTAACAGGGATAATGCACATTTCACTTTCCCAGGTGTTTGTCACAAAGCTGCCAATTTCTCCCTACTTAGGAGACAGGAAAAGAAATGTGAACATGTAAGAAATTCATAGGGGCCGAGAAAATTTTCCTGACATGCTCCTGCTGGGACACCACGGCAGTTGAAGAAGGCCTGTCATTGGGCTGTCAACCTTTAACCTCCCCCAGACGTATTTTGAAATGATGTGAAAAGAATTGCTGGGCTCTACCACTGGTTCCTTCCAGTTCTGCACGTCTGTCCTTGATGTCAGTCAAAAGTAGTTAACTGGCACCCACAGTGCCTTAAAAAAAACCCTCCACAAAATATCAGTAATGACTTTAGTTAGGAAGACTAGCTCTTGTCAAGTAATGACTTTTTGACATAAGGTATTGTTTACCTAGGCAACGTTCTCTTACTTGCATTTTAATGAGCCTAATTAATAATAAGTTAGGAGTCCTCGGCTATTTCTTCACAGCTGGACCATATGCACTAATTACTCTGAGTGTGGAAACCTAAAATAATCCTTTTGGGCAGAAGAAACTGTTTAAATATACAGAAAACCTTGGTTTAAATATATATACTTAAATATATATGTTTCTATATATACATTTGCTTCCTCCCCTTACTGATGTCACCTGTGATATCAAAGCAATTTGCAAATCATTAAGGCAGACATCCCCTTAAAAAATGTAGGTTTGGTTTGTGTTGTGCTGGTGGAAGTTTTCACTGGTAGAAGTTTCAGGAGTTTGCATGAGGAATTGACGGGTAGATTTGCTTGGCACATCCTGTGTGCGCTTCCTCTGAGTAACAAGCCAGAATAGTTCCCAAATGCAAGAATAAACATCAGTAGTAGTGAAAGGTGATCCATTGATAGAAATACTTCCCTTATAAAAAATAAACAACCTCCAAAAGGCCACGTTGGAGTTTACGGAAGTCTTTCCTGTATTATATAAAGCATGTTTTTATTGGCTTCCTGAATGTGAAGTTTCCCATTTAGCTTTTGCACTTCCCTCAACAGAATCCTAGGAAGTAAAGTAAGTATTTGGAATCAGGGCAAGACAACAACTCCAAAAGAAGGCAAAACACAAGTCACTAGATAGATTTTTTCCAAGAATGACAGGACATCACTGTTCCCTGCCTCCACCTGGCTTGCAAAAGTGCAGGGGACCCTGAGGGCGACCTTCCTTGAGAAAGGGCAAGGAACCCTTTATTGTCTCCAGTCCGACTGGCAACCAGACACAGAGCTACTGAAACTTTAGTCTGAGGCACGGGTTTGGGGACTGTCACAGGAATCCTATGAGCTGAGGTGCAGCTGCTGAGGAAAAGCTAATCTGTGATATATCATTGATTACTTGAGCACAGAATCAGTTATTCATTTTTTTTTTTTCCAAAAAATCACAGAGTTTGGCTCTTCGGTTGTAGAAAGATCCTGGAGGAAATGTCATGAGGAATGCTTCAAGAAGGCGTTGCTCAAAATCCCTACCAAGATCCTTCCAGAAGTCAAACTGACGACTTGAGCGCTAAGACCTCGAAGTACATTAAGTGGAAGAGAGAGATCCTGGCATCAGGGCTGTATGAGGAGGCTTGGTTCTCTTGGAGTGACTTTTGGACTTCACCAGGTCCCCCTCCACCCATGTTTTAACAAGACACAGTTCAAAACAGTCAGACACGATTCGAGCTAATTGGTGGATTCAGCAAGAAACCTGGGAAAAGGTCAGGCTGAGGTTGGAAGGCATCAGGCTGGCAGGGTTAGCAGATGCTCCCCAGAAAGGGCCTTGGAGTGGAGGAGCACCCTGCCAGGCACCATATGTGTGACGGACAGGACGGTGAGCCCAGGATGCCTGAGCGAAGGTGACAGACTGGCTCTCATTTGCACAGAAAGAAACTTCCCTTGGAGTAGGCACAAGTGAAATAATGTCCACAAATTGGGCACATTTTCAGGCTGCGGGCCACTTGGCAGAATTTTCCCTGCTATAACCTCCTCCCCCGAGGAGCAAGAAAAGCCTACGCTATTTACCATGACAGGACACCCACCCCATTTGTCCCCCACGGCTCTCAAAGGCAGCAGAGGAGGAACTGCAGAACGTAGAGGCCCAGTCCCCAGGCGCGTTTGAAGAGCACGCCGAAGCAGGCTCACACATACACGCTCCCGGAGTCCTCCCAGCATCCTGGTGGAGGCAGCACTCAAACTTGCGTCCGCCTGACTCCACAGGCAGGGCTGGCTTCTTTCACTCTGCCTTCCCGAGTTCGAGCCAGAGAAACTCGGGACAATTGCATCAAAAATTAAGTGTTGAAAAAACTGTTATTCCTTTCTAATGGGATCAGGTGTCATTCTCTGAGGACGTTTGCTGGTCCCCGATATACTGGGAGCTTCCCTCCTCCTGCCTCTGCTGGAAACTTCTTTCCATCCCCACCCCTCTTGCCAGATCTTTACTTTGAAAGTACAAGTTTGAGACGCCTGCTTAATTCTATCTTTTATACCAATGAGAAGATGCTAAAAATCCATTCTAGTGTTCTACAGGCACGAGTCAGTGAATGGGGGGCAAATATGTGGTTTTGAAGACTGAACTCACTGAAGGAGCTCCGGCAATTTGCTGGATGTGACTTCCACGCAGAAACCACCATTGTCTTATTTTTCCTCCCCGCCAGCAGAAAACACCCATCAAGCACCCGTGTGACCGTAGAGGAAGGAGGTGGTGGAGAAGTCTCAGGGGCACATTCTCTGACCCTAGGAGCTCACTGTCTTCCCACGTGATGAAACAGGCTTGTGTGGGAAGTTACCCATCAGTCAACTGGTATCAGTTAGTCGTTCGTCACCTCAAGGACACTGGTCCTGCAGCCACTGCCGATGACGGCATCAGAAACACCCAGCGAGTCACCATTTCCACTGCTTAGCATTGACCTGTATCATCGAAGCTGTCCCTTTCCTGGAGGCGTAACAAATTGCCATTCACTCACGGCTCCAAGGCCCCTAACTCCTTCTGCGCAAGTAGAACATGCTCATTTTATTAATGGTATACCCCAGTGGACTTTGTAGGACAACAGAACGGTTAAGAGTGAATGGGTGGGCTGAATATTATTTACTAAGATGAAAGGCTGGCAGTCAGCACCCCTGGCATCTACCGCTGTCAACCCCCCGACTCCCTCCCATCTGACTGCCAGCCCCAGGGTAAGGGTTCATTTATCAGTCCTGGGACCTTCACACGCAGAGAGAGGTCAATCTGGAATAAGCCAAAACTGGAATCGATCTTTTGTCTGAGCTGGAGGTCTTGAGACTGGGTTGACATCCAGGCTGGAATTCTTGTTCCGGATCCTCATTCTTGGGTCAGCCTGTACCAGAATCATCCTCCAGAATGCAGATGAGGAGAATGTGGCCCTGTGTATGTTTAGAGCATTTGCTGGGCCCCAAATAGATCCTGGGCTCCTCCTGCCGCTCCCTTTACCCCAGCCGCTCCCTTCTCAGATTTCTCTGCACCCCACCCCCGCTTGCCCAACTGTATTTTTGAAATCTACTCTTGGAGGGTCCCATTTCATCCTCTCCTATCCAGAATCCTTCTTGAGCCCTTGGTTACAAATGTGAGTCTAAGCCTTTTTTGAATAATGTCCCTTTATTTCTGTCTCTTTTATTGTGCATCTCCTATTAGTTTGCTATTTCTGTCATAAC